CCGGTTCGCACCCCCCCTTCCCCTTTCCCCCCCCCCCCCCTACTCACCGCCAGCAAACGACTCCCGGTCCCCACCACCGTCCGCATCACATCCCCCACTGGTGTTCCCAGCACCACTGTCCTCACCACCACTGTCCCCACTGGTTCCACCACCGTCCCTATTGTCCCCACCAGTGCCCCCACCACTGTCGCACTGTCCCCACTGTTCCCACAACTGTTCCCACCACGGTTCCACACCCCCACTGTCTTCCACTCTCCCCACTGTCTCCACGGACCCAACCACTGCCTATCCCCACTGTCCCCACTGTCCCACTGACTCCTCCGCTGTCCCACTGAGCTGTCCCACTGTTTCCACCACTGTCCCCACTGTCCCCACCACTGTCCCCACTGTACCTCTGTCCCATTGTCCCACCGCCGTCCTCGCCACCGCCTTTACCAGTGTCCCCACCACCATTGTACCCTCCACTGTCCCAGTGTTTCCACCTCATTCCCACTGTCCCCACACCACTGTCCCCACCACCACCGTCCCCACCACTGTCCACTGTCCCCCCTGTTCCCACCATTGTCCCCACCACTGTCCCCACCACTACCGTCCCACCACTGTCCCACTGTCCCACTGTCCCCACCACTGTCCCGCTGTCCCCTCACCACTGTCCCCACCAACACCGTCCCCACCACTGTCCGCACCCCCACTCGGTTTTCGAGGGGGGGGGGGGGGTTCGAACTGGTAGTGACCCCCCCCCCTTTTCATGATGAGCTGGGGGGGGGGGGGGGGGGGGAGGGGGTTCGAACCGGTAGTGACCCCCCCCGTTTTTGGAGGGGGGGGGGGGGGGGGAGGGGTTCGAACCGGTAGTGACCCCCCCGGTTTTCCGCCAGCAGCGGTAGAACACGCTCTTTCAGACATACTCATACACAGACTTACTCATACACAGACTTACTCACACCCAGACGTACTCATACACAGACTCACTCATACCCAGACTTACTCATACACAGTACTAGTCATACTCAGACTTCGCTTGGAGAGCAGATTGTGAGGATGTCTCAGGCGGGGCGCTGGTTTCAGCACCCCTAAGGGGAGCCGCCAGGGGTGTTTGCACGGGCTCGTTCGCGGCCATTGTGTGGGGATGTCTCAGGCGGTTTGCTTGTTTCTGGGCTCAACATCCTTCGCTTGGAGAGCAGATTGTGAGGATGTCTCGAGCGAGGCGCTGGTTTCAGCACCCCTAAGGGGAGCCGCCAGGGGTGTTTGCACGGGCTTGTTCGCGGCCATTTTGTGGGGATGTCTCAGGCGGTTTGCTGGTTTCTGAGCCCAACATCCTTCGCTTTCGGAGCAGATTTGGAGGATGTCTCGAGCGAGGCGCTCATTTTCACCCCCCAGGTGGGCCAGATGTTGAGGATGTCTTGATCGGTTTGCTTGTTTTCGTGGACAGGCTCGTGGCCCTAAGGGGAGCCGCCAGGGGTGTTTGCACGGGCTCGTTCGCGGCCATGCTGTGGGGATGTCTCATGCGGTTTGCTTGTTTCTGGGCCCAACATCCTTCGCTTTCGGAGCAGATTTGGAGGATGTCTCGAGCGAGGCGCTCATTTCCACCCCCCAGGTGGGCCAGATGTTGAGGATGTCTCGATCGGTTTGCTTGTTTTGGTGGCCAGGCTCGTGGGGTGGTTGCACGGGCTCGTTCGCGGCCATTTTGCGGGGATGTTTCAGGCGGTTTGCTTGTTTCTGGGCTCAACATCCTTCGCGTTCGGAGCAGATTTGGAGGATGTCTCGAGCGAGGCGCTCATGTTCACCCCCCAGGTGGGCCAGATTTTGAGGATGTCTCGATCGGTTTGCTTGGTTTGGTGGCCAGGCTCGTGGGCGCAGATTCTTCTCAGGATGCCACAGGAGGCTCCAACAGGCTCCAGGAGGCCCCAGGAGACCACATGAGGTCCCAGGAGGCATCAGGAGGCCACAGAAAAACTCAAGAGGCCACAGGATGTCCCAAGAGGCTCCAGGAGGCCCCAGGAAGCTCCAGAAGGCCTCAGGAAACCACAGGAGGCCCCAGGAGGCAACAGGAAGCGCCAAGAGGCCTCGGAAGGCAACAGGAGGCCCCGAGAGGCCCCAGGAGCAGGAGGCCTCAGAAGGCAACAGGAGTGGCTCCAATCCCATGTGTTTTACGTATGCTCCTATCGATTGGGCCTCACCTGGAGCACGATTCTTTGATGTTCTACGCATGTTTCTATAGATGGTCCTTCTCCTGCGTACACAATCCTAAATGTTTTACTCATGTTCCTATATATTGGGCCTCTCCTGGGGCACGAGTCCTTGGTGTTTTACGCGTGTTCCTATATATTGCCCTTCTCCTGTGGCTCTAATCCGCAATGTTTTATGTACGTCTGTTGCTATATATTGCGCCTCTCCTGGGGCACGAAACCTTCCTAGGAGGTCCCAGGAGGTCCCAAGAGGCTCCTGGAGACCCCAGGAAGCCCCAGTAGGTTTCAGGAGGCCCCAGGAGGCCCCAGGCTCATGCACAGAGACGCGCTTGTACTACTGAGGCTCATTCACACTCCAATTCATTCGCAATTAGATTGATGTCCAGACCGTCACAACTGAAGCCCGTTACTATTCGAAAGCTCTTGCGCCTAGACATTCACGGCGGACAGGTCCATGCGAGTAGATGCACGTATGGGGAGCTCCACGCAATGAATAATTACTTGGACGCCTCCTACTCCCTCTCCTCCTTCCTCCTCCTCGTTCCTCCTCTTTCCTCATACTCAGACCTACTCATACTCAGACTTACTCATACTCAGACTTACTCATACTCAGACCTACTCATACTCAGACTTACTCACACTCAGACATACTCATACACAGTATTACTCAGACTCAGACTTACTCATACCCAGATTGTGAGAATGTCTCACGCGGGGCGCTGGTTTCAGCACCCCTAAGGGGAGCCGCCAGGGGTGTTTGCACTGGCTCGTTCGCGGCCATGTTGTGGGGATGTCTCAGGCGGTTTGCTTGTTTCTGGGCCCAACATCCTTCGCTTGGAGAGCAGATTGTGAGGATGTCTCGAGCGAGGCGCTCATTTCAGCACCCCTAAGGGGAGCCGCCAGGGGTGTTTGCACGGGCTCGTTCGCGGCCATTTTGTGGGGATGTCTCAGGCGGTTTGCTTGTTTCTGGGCCCAACATCCTTCGCTTTCGGAGCAGATTTGGAGGATGTCTCGAGCGAGGCGCTCATTTTCACCCCCCAGGTGGGCCAGATGTTGAGGATGTCTCGATCGGTTTGCCTGTTTTGGTGGCCAGGCTCGTGGGCGCAGATTCTTCTCAGGATGCCACAGGAGGCTCCAACAGGCTCCAGGAGGCCCCAGGAGACCACATGAGGTCCCAGGAGGCATCAGGAGGCCACAGAAAGATTCAAGAGGCCACAGGATGTCCCAAGAGGCTCCAGGAGGCCCCAGGAAGCTCCAGAAGGCCTCAGGAAACCACGGGAGGCCCCAGGAGGCCACAGGAAGCGCCAGGAGGCCTCGGAAGGCAACAGGAGGCCCCGAGAGGCCCCAGGAGCAGGAGGCCTCAGAAGGCAACAGGAGTGGCTCCAATCCCATGTGTTTCACGTATGCTCCTATCGATTGGGCCTCACCTGGAGCACGATTCCTTGATATTATAGGTATGTTTCTATATATTGTCCTTCTCCTGTGTACACAATCCTACATGTCTTATTTATGCTCCTATCTATTGGGCCTCTCCTGGGGCACGAGTCCTTGGTGTTTTACGTGTGTTCCTATAGACCCAGATACAAGATCATTTCTAAAAACAGGATGCACATATGGGGAGCTCCACGCAGTGAGTAATAGGTTGTGCACATGTCCGCCACCGTGCTGTAAGCACTGAGTGAAGTGTCCTCAGGTGCCTTTGAGTCCACTGCCTTGAGTGTTGTGATACCCTTCAAGGAGCCCAGGGCCCTATGTGAAGAGAGCGCCAAGACGGCCGCGGAGGGTCCCAAGAGGCTCCCAAGGCGGTTCAAGAGGGCCCTGGAGACCTCGTGATGCGTGGGGGCATCTGAGCTATCTTCGAGGCAATCGGGGCCAGACCACATACCAAAATCACTGGGGAAAGTCTCATGTCTCTGGTTGATTTGAACACAGTCGGCTGTCGGTCTGAAGAGCGTCCCAGGAGGCTCCAGAGATCGCCCCTGGACTGCCCAACAGGCACCAAATATCTCCCCAGGACTGCAGCAGGAGCTCCCAAGAGGCCTTTCAGACGGCCCCAAGTGAGGCCCAATAAGGGTAAGCCGAATTTATGTTTCGAGCCCCCCACCCCAAGATGGCGTCCGAGTTCGCCCGCACGCCCCCAAACACTAGGCTTTCAATCAGCCCCTCAGAGGCTACCCCAGAGGCTCCCAATCGGCCCTAAAGAGGCACCCAGGGGACCCCCGAGAAGCCCCGAGCAGGCCCCTCAAAGGCGCCCTAAGAGACCCCAAGAGATATGTAAGATCCCCCCAGTAGCTACTATACCCAGTACAGAGATTGTAGGGATAAAGCAAATATCGCCAGAAATTCTGAACACCCACTGGACAATCGGGCGACCACGCTGAATAATCTTCCTAGGCGATCCTCCCGGACATACCCCCCCGCGGAACCTCAAGCCTTTCCAACCAGAACGATAATTTGCATGCCGCTGGGCTCATGCAACTCTGACGGGACTACCGCCAGCATAGCCAGTCTGAGTAGCACGTGCGTGCATAACGCTGGTGTCAAGTTCTCGATTGCCCACGCGGACCCATGCTTGGATGCACGCCTGGTTGCTGGCTCGGGGCGACATGCAGCGCGACCGCCGAAGCGTATAACCAACCCCTGTGGGCACCGCTTCTGCCATGTTCCGCGTGGGAGCGGGCTGGGATCACCCGAGAGAAAGAGAGAGAGAGAGAGAAACAAAAAAAAGTCCACCTGCGCCATGCTGCAGCACCGGGGCCCAAGGGAAGGCAAGGCAGACTCGAGCGAGGGCCGAGGGGGTTCCGCACCAGGCTCCAGGCTCTGCTCCAGCGCGGCCGCGCGGCCCCGGGCCTCCTCCGCCTCGGCAGTGAGACGCTCCACGTCCTGCTGCAGCAGCTCCTGGGCCGCCAGGCTCCGCTCCAGCGCGGCCGCTCGGCCCCGGGCCTCCTCCGCCGCCGCGGTGAGCCGCGCCACCTCCTGGTGCAGCTGCTCCTGGGCCGACGCGCGCTCCTCGAGCGAGGCCGCGCGGCCCCGGGCCTCCTCCGCCTCGGCGGTCAGCCGCGCCACGTCCCGCTGCAGCAGCTCCTGGGCCGCCAGGCTCTGCTCCAGCGCGGCCGCTCGGCCCTCGGCCTCCCGCGCCTCGGAGGCGAGCCGCGCCACGTCCTGCTGCAGCTGCGCGTTGGCCGCGGCCTCCGCCTCGAGCGAGGCCTCCCGGGCCCTGGCCGCCTCTGCCTCAGCAGTGAGGCGCAGCACCTCCTGCTGCAGCTGCTCCTGGGCAGCCACGTTCTGCTCGAGGGAGTCCGCTCGCGCCCTGGCCAGCTCTGCCTCGGACGTGAGCTCTGTAACCTCCTGCTGCAGCTGCTCCTGCGTCGCAGAGCTCCGCTGCAAGCTCTGCTCCAGCGAGGCCGCATGGCCTCTGGCCTCCTCTGCCTCGGCAGTGAGCCGCAGCACGTCTTGCTGTAGCAGCGCCTGGGCCGCCAGGCTCTGCTCCAAGGAGGCCGCTCGGCCCTTGGCCTCCTCTGCCTCGGAGGTCAGCCGCTCCATGTCCTGCTGCAGCTTCTCCTGCGCCGCCAGGCTCTCTGCCAGTGAGGCCGCTCGGCTCCGGGCCTCGTCTGCCTCGGACGTGAGCCGCGCCACGGCCTGCTGCAGCTGCCCCCTCTCAGCCACTTCGGCCTCCAGCGAGGCCGCTCGGGCCCTGGCCTCCTCTGCCTCGGCAGTGAGACGCACCATGTCGTGCTGCAGCTTCGCCTGGGCGGCCAGGCTCTGCTCCAAGGAGGCCGCTCGGCCCTTGGCCTCCCGTGCTTCTGCAGTGAGCCGCGCCACGTCCTGCTGCAGCTGCGCCTTGGCCGCGACTTCCGCCTCCAGCGAGGCCGCACGGCCCTTGGCCTCCTCTGCCTCGGACGTGAGGCGTACAACGTCCTGCTGCAGCAGCTCCTGGGCCGCCAGGCTGTGCTCCAGCGAGGCCGCCCGGCCCTTGGCCTCCTCTGCCTCGGACGCGAGCTTCACGACGTCCTGCTGCAGCAGCTCCTGGGCCGCCAGGCTCTGCGCCAGTGAGGCCGCCAGGGTCTTGGCCTCCTCCGCCTCGGAGCTCAGCCGAACCACGTCCTGCCGCAGCTTCTCCTGGACCGCCATGCTCTCCTCCAGTGAGGCCGCTCGGCCCCGGGCCTCCTCTGCCTCAGAGGCGAGCCGCGCCACGTCCTGCTGCAGCTGCTCTTTGGCGGCGACTTCGGCCTCAAGGGAGGCCGCTCGGCCCCGGGCCTCCTCTGCCTCAGAGGCGAGCCGCGCCACGTCCTGCTGCAGCTGCTCTTTGGCGGCGGCTAGGGAGGCCGCTCGGCCCCGGGCCTCCTCTGCCTCAGAGGTCAGCCGCTCCACGTCCTGCTGCAGCTGCTCTTTGGCGGCGACTTCGGCCTCCAGTGAGGCCGCTCGGCCCCGGGCCTCCTCTGCCTCAGAGGCGAGTCGCGCCACGTCCTGCTGCAGCTGCTCTTTGGCGGCGACTTCGGCCTCAAGGGAGGCCGCTCGGCCCCGGGCCTCCTCTGCCTCAGAGGCGAGTCGCGCCACGTCCTGCTGCAGCTGCTCTTTGGCGGCGACTTCGGCCTCCAGTGAGGTCGCTCTGCCCCGGGCCTCCTCTGCCTCAGAAGTGAGTCGCGCCACGTCATGCTGCAGATGCTCCTGGGCCCACAGTTTCTGCTCTAGCGCATCCGATCGCGTCCTGGCTTCGTCTGCCTCGGACGTCAGCCGCAGCACCTCCTGCTTCAGCTGCTCGTGGGCCGCCGAGCTCTGCTCCAGAGATGCCACAAGGCGCTTGGCCTCCTCTGCCTCGGTCGTAAGCCGAAGCAACTCCTGCTGCAGCTGCTCCTGGACCGCCAGGCTCTGCTCCAATGACGCCGCTCGGCTCCGGGCGTCCTCTGCCTCGGACGCGAATCGCGCCGCGTCCTGCTGCAGCTGCTGCTGGGCTGCAACTTTCTGCTCCAACGAAGCCGCTCGGTTCCTGGCCTCCTCTGCCTCGGACGTCAGCCGAAGCACGTCCTGCTGCAGCTTCTCCTGGGCAGCGAGGCTCTGCTCCAGCGAGGCCATCACAGTCTTTGCCTCCTCCTGCTGATCCTGCCGGGGGGAGCCGAGGTGGCTAGCGCTAGGTCTCATACAGTCAAAAACCCAAATAAGGACGCGCGGTAAGGACGCAAGACCCTTGGAAGCCGAAGTTGGGATTTTTGGGGCGGCGGACGGCGAAAACCTCAAGGACGCAAGAGCAAGGAAGAGCAAGGACGCAAGGGTACCCTGAGCAAAGTCGCGCGTGGCTTTTTGACTGTAGCTGCTGCCGGCAGAAGGATTTGGAGCACTGACACCGGCTGAAAGGTCGTCCGTGGGTCTAGGCGTGGCAAGGCAAGGTGGCCGTCCGTCCGGCAATCGGCCTCTCAACTGCTTCTGTGGGAAGGGCCACCGTGGAAACGTCGGCAGAGGCATCAACGTGAAGCTCTCGGATCTCCGAACTGATCTCTCGGATCGGCCGGGGGCTCCCCTCTTACGACACCCCGCTTGCGCCGCCACCGGTGCGCTCTCCGCGTGACAGGGAGCGGGGCCCTGCGTGGATCCAGCAGGGCCCCGAGGAGGTCCGGAAATGGACGCCCAGAGCGGTGACTCCACTTTTGGGGGGGGGTATCTCATTCTTCCCCAAGACAGTGCCTGCACTGACGGGTTCTTACTCAAGGGGCCCTGGGACACTCAAATAGATACACACAAAAAACAGGATTCCCCATATTTCCCCATATCTTTTGGATATTGTCTTCCCCCCACTTCCCATATTTTCTTATATTTTCCCAGGAATCGTGGCTTCATTGTGTCTGTGTGTTTTTGTTCCCTCCTGACTTACGTGTGTGTCTCAAGCCACGCGCTGGGTCTGCCGGGCTTTCCGCCGAGTCCCGCCCGTGGGCGCCCCGTGGGCGCCCCCGGCGCGGCGGGGGGGCGTGCGCGGAGGTGTCGCCGGGTGCCCGCGCGTGGGCGCAGTGCTGGCCTGCACCGCGGGGAGTGCACCGCGCAGACGGAGCAGCCCAGCGTGCACGACGTGGCTTCCACCTCCTCCTCCCGCCGCCTCCCTCCTCCTCCCTCCTCCTCCTCCTCCTCCTCCCTCCCCCCTCCTCCTCTCCTCCTCTCCTCCTCCTCCTCCTCCCTCCTCCTCCTCCTCCTCCTCCTCCTCCTCCTCCTCCTCCTCCTCCTCCTCCACGGAGCTGGCACCACACGGGCTGCACCACGAGCAACTGCACCGCGCACAGCGCACCCTCGTAGAGATTGCACCACACGGCTCTCACCACGCAGCTTCCGCCCCAGGTCTTGCACCACGTAGCTTCCAGCACACAGCTTGCAGCACATAGCTTGCACCACATGGCTCACAGCACGCAGATTTCACCACGTAGCTCACAGCACATAGCTTGCACCACATAGCATGCAACACATAGCTTGCACTACATGGCTTGCACTACATGGCTTGCACCATGAAGATTGCACCACGTATAGTGTTCCCTGGTAGATTGCACAACAGCTTGCATCACGTAGCTTCCGCCCCGTATCTTGCGCCACATAGGTTACACCACATATCTTGCACCACGTAGCTTGCTTGCACCACGCAGATTGAACCGCGTAGATCGCAACACATAGCATGCACCACATTGATTGCACCACATTCGATGTGGTGAGCCATGTAGTGAGCCATGTGACATGGCTCACCACATAGCTTACACCACATCCCCCCGCAAAGTAACCTGCACATCCACATATTAATGACTTACTGCTGCTTGGGTGTGCCGGGTGTTCGGTGAGTGGGCGTCCATGGGGGCCTCGTGGGCGCCTCGTGTGTGTGTCCGAAAAACATACAAAAACATAAGGTTTCGCAATACGGATTTTCAACAAAAGCGTGCGCGCGCGCTCTTGCGTCGTCGTCGTCGTCGTGGTCGTCGTCGTCGTCGCCGTCCTCCCTCCTCCCGCGTCGTCGTCGTCGTCGTCGCCGACGTCGTCCTCTGTCTTTCCTCGTGTTCGTCGTCGTCGTCCTCTTTGGCGTCGTGGTCGTTTCCGTCGTCGTTGTCGCCGTGGTCGTCGTTTCCTCTTCCCTCGACGTCGTCGTCCGTCGTCGGCGTCTCGTCGTCGACCCTCCTATTTCGTCGCCGTCGTCGTCGTCGTCGTCGTCTTCCCTCCTCCCTCGTCGTTGTCGTCGTCGGCGTCGCCGTCCTCCCTCCTTCTTCGTCGTTCGCGTCGTCGCCGTCCTCCCTCCTCCCTCGTCGTTGTCGTCGTTGTCGCCGTCGTCGTCCTCCCTCCTCCCTCGTCGTCGTCGTCGTCGTCTTCGTTGGCGGCGTCGTTGTCGTCATCGTCGTCGTCGTTGTCTTCGTCGTCGTCGGCGTCGTCGTTGTCGCCGTGGTCGTCGTCGTCGTCGTCGGCGTTGTCATCGTCGTCGTCGTCGTCGGCGTCGTCGTCGTCGGTGTCGTCGTCGTCGTCGTCGTTGTCGTCGGTGTCGTCGTAGTCGGTGTCGGCGGCGCCGTCGTCGTCGTTGTCGGTGTCGTCGTCGGCGTCGGTGTCATGGCCAAGTGCCATGTGGTACCTACATTTACGGTCTTGTCGTAAAAGGTCTTGCGACCAAGTTGAGGGTGGGAGGGTGGGATGTTTGCACGAGCAGTGGAGAGGACAGCTTCAAGACGGTCAAAGTGAGCTTGCACCACATAGCTTGCACCACATAGCGTGCACCACATAGCTTGCGCAGCACAGCTTGCACTACATAGCTTCCTCCACGTAGCTTGTTCCGCATGGCTTACAACACATAGCTTACGCCACATAGCTTGCAACACACATGTTGCACCACATAGCTTGCACAACACATAGCTTGCACCACATAGCATGCACCGCATAGCTTGCACATCCACGCTCCGATAACTTATCGTTCGGGGTCCACGCTGGCAGCCTCCGCCAGCCAAACTGGAGAGCATTCGAGGGTACCCTCCCCCCAGGATGCACAAACACGTCCAGCAAGCACAGAAGAACATTGGGGGACCCTCCCCGAACCGACCTCGACCTCCTACCTCGGTCCGACCGTATACGTGGTTGCGTCTTCTTCGGTTCGGTCACCACACGCTGGGTTCGGTTCGGACCAAGGCCACGCTGACGGCGATGCTGGTCAACGGCGATGCTGGGAGTCTGGATCTTGCGACGCCGGACTCGCGCGAAAGAAGCTGCAGGAAGACGCGAGGAGGCCTCTCCCACGATTGGGCTGGCCACGAAGCGCCACCACCCAAACAACCGAAACTCACATCGCCGTTACCATATGTAGTCTTTTGAACGGACAATATCGAACTTTTGAACATGTAGATCCTGTAATCTTAATCTCTTGACATTCTCCATTAATGTTGATACAATCGTGTCTGCAGCTGGAGACCTCCCACACGGGGCCAGAGCAGACGGGGTCGCAGGATCGCGTCACATCGCCGGTGCATCGGCGATACGGCGCGATCCCCTGATCCCATCCGCTCCAGCCTTCGGTGGCAACTCCTGGGAGCCTCCCATACCATCTTGTCGGCTCTTGCGAACGACGCTAATCGACGCTAGTCGACGCTAACCGACGCTAACCGACGCTAAATCGGCGCTATCTCATCGACCCCCAGACGCTTAGGTCGGGCATGTCCCCCTGCAGGCGGATTTTGAAGGAAAAATTAAAACTACTCAAACATAGTCCAAAATTGACAAACATTGTCAAACAAAAATCGTCCCCTGACATTTTGAAACCTATTCTTGAACACTCCTCCTGCAGAGGGACTGGCCCGACTTAGATCTAGCTCCATGGACGACCCCCGAAGCCCCCGAGCTTAGCTGCCCCGATACGCAACACGCAACACGTGGCGTCTTGATACGGAGCTCAACACGTGGACTGGAAACGTGGGGCCGACGCGATGCGTTCGCCAAAACGTGGGCCAACACGTGGAGTCAACACGCAACGCATTGACACGGACGTCTTGAACACGGGACGTGTTGCGTTTCAATACGGTCGGCGGTGGACAAACCTCCCTTTAGTAAACCTCCCCTTAGTGAAAACGGCCTGGGACCGGAACCGACGGACCTGGACCCGCAGAAATGGCGGCCGCGACGCCCTCTCGCGAACCGAAAACGGCACATTCCTCAATCGACGTGTCAGGGTAGGAGGTCTGTCTACCTCCGATACGGTCGTATCGAGACAAACAAGCCCCCGAGTGCAAACCTGCCGACGCCCCGCCCTCACGTCGCCCGCCGCCCGCCGCCCTCCCCTCCGCCGCCGGTCCCACTCGCTGGTCTGTGCCTCCGCCGCGCTCCCGCCCGGGCCGAGGCGAGCCGAACTGCGAGGCCCTCTGGCTGCTGTTTTTCTACGAACAATTCGGCGACACGCAAGAGCGACCCTGGGTAGGTAAGAGTGACCATCGCTCGGACGTGCATTCCCTGTGTTTTTTGTCGGTTTCGTGTGGTTTTTTCGCCAAATGATTAAGGATGCTCCTCGATGGTCCTTGCCGAAGAAAAAACGCTCTCGTCCGAGCGATGCCAAGAGAGTAACCTTTGGTGCGAGGCTCGCGGAGGGCCGCGGGGGGGCCAACACACATGCGCACGAGGCGCTACCATCGCACCCCGTGCGGCGAGCGGGGGACCCCAATGGGCCCGCACCAGAAGTCACTCCGGCGAAGGGTCACTCTTACGTCTAGTCGAACACTTGGCGGCGCGCACAAGGGAGTGGGTGGAGGGGGGAGGGCTCCTGAGAAGGAGGCAGCTTCTTAGAAGGCGCCGGCCCCTTTCCTCTGCAGATCAGGCCCGCGCCTTCCGAGAAGCGGGGGTGCTTCTAAGAAGCCCTCCCCCTTCCCCCCACCCCCCTCTGCGCGTGGCTGAAACAGAGCCTCAGTGCAATCAACGGACGCGGCAGGGCGCGGCATAATAACAGGAGCTGCCACGACGGAGCGCGAGATGCTGCAGGCTCTCTGGCCCTAGCTTGCGACGCTCTCTGACATGGTTTTTGGCCGAGTGGCAATCGCTGAACTGCTGCACCGTCCTCCCGTCCAGGTCGAGGCGAGCCGACCCGCGAGGCCCTCTCCGGGACACGCCGCGTGGGAGGCCCGGAGGCTCGGCGGAGAGCGGGCTGAGAGAGATCGGTCCGCACCTTGGGCCGCCAGGTCCTATGGACCAATTTCCACTTTTGGGGAATTAGTATGTTCTTCAGCGTCCCCTCCTCCTCGTCCTCCTCCTCTCATCCACCTCTCGCTGTCCTCTCCCTCCTCCTCCCCCCCCCCTCCCTCTCTCCGCCGGCGACCTCCGCCTCGCACTTGGCACCATTCCGCTGGTCGCCCGCGACACCTCCCGGGGGTCCCAAGCGCCTTCGCTTCTCGAGCTGCGTCCGGCCGTGGCCACGAACTGGGCAGTCGAAGCCAATCTGGCGCCAATCTGGCAGGCCCAATCTGGCAAACGGGGGCCATCTGGCGATAGGGAGCCAACGCGACTCCAGTCCGGCGAAGAACCCGAATCCTCCACTTTTGGAGGCCTGGAAATGGGCACCAACACCAACACAGGGGGTTGCCTCCTCAGGGGGACGATGATCCTAGATTTCGGTGTTGGTGGTAATAGTCCGGTCACCTTGGAAGCCAGAATGTGACCACCATCACCGAGATCGGGATTCTCTTCCGTCGGTGGAGGCACACCGCCGATCTTGGTGTTGGTGTCAACCTCTAGGCCTCCTCCACTTACTTGGGCCAGGCCGGATCGGCCCCTGGGGCCCCATCCCGTCTGCCAGCCTGGCCATCCACTGCCCAGACGGTGGGGCCCCCCCCCCCTGACGGCCCGGCCGCCCTCGCCTCGGCCCGGCTGCCCTCCTGGCCATCGCTCGGACGTCCACTCCCTGTGCTTTTCTCGGCTTCGTGCGTGGTTTTTTTTCTTCGCCAGGTGGTCGAGGAGGCTCCTCGATGGCCCTCGCCGACGGAAAAAAATGCACACGTCCGAGCGATGCCAAGACAAGGGAGTGGGGGGAGGGGGGACGGCTCCTAAGAAGGAGGCTCCTTTCTTCGCCAGATGGTCGAGGATGCTCCTCGACGGCCCTCGCCGGAGGAAAAACATCCACGCGTCCGCGCGACGCCAAGCCTTAGGTCCGGCAGTTGCGAACGCAGGAGCTCCACGACCACTTCGGGCCAAAAAACCCAGACCAGAAAAACACATCAGGCAATCTTGAAACCAAAACCTGGGGAGGTCGACGTCCTGAACAAAAACCCAAACACTAAAACCTGGGGAGATCGACGTCTGGAAACCAAAACCTGGGGAGGTTGATGTCCTGGGGAGGGCTCCTAAGAAGGAGGCTGCTTCGTAGAAGGCGCCGGCCCCTTACCTCTGCAGATCAGGCCCGCGCCTTCCGAGAAGCGGGGGTGCTTCTGAGAAGCCCTCCCCCTTCCCCCCACCCCCCTCTGCGCGTGGCTGAGACAGAGTGACTCAGTGCAGTCAGCGGACGCGGCAGGGCGCGGAAACATGCACACGTCCGAGCGATGCCAAGGCCTCCTCTTGCCTAGGGCGGCACGCTCCTCGCCTCGGCCCGGCCCCCCTCCTCCTCCTCTTCCTCCTTCTCCTCCTCCTCCTCCTCCTCCTCCTCCTCCTCCTCCCCCGCCTCCCCCTCCGCCTCCTCCTTCTCCTCCTCTTCCTCCTCCTCCTCCTCCTCCTCCTCCTCCTCCTCCTCCTGTTCCTCCTCCTCCTCCTCCTCCTGCCCTCCTCTTGCCAAAAGGGCGGCGCGCTCCTGCCCCCCCGCGCCCGCCGCCAGCCGGCGCAGCTCCTCCGCGCGCGCCCGCGCCCGCCGCTCGCGCTCCCGCTGCCGCTCCGCCTCGTGGGCGGCGCGCAAAAGGGGGTACACCTTGCGAAATGGTTAAGAAATCATGGGTTGAGAAATTCATGGTCTCAGAACTTGACTAAAAACCCAAAATTTCTATTAAAAGCTTAGGATTTACGATGAAACATTAAGAATAATCGAGACCCTGGCCGAAAATTTAAGTTTTCTTAAGCATCGCCTAAGGTGTAGGGGGAGGGGGGAAGGCTTCTTAGAAGCACCCTGCTTCTTCGAAGGCCTCGGCCTCACGTCTGCAGAGAAGGCCCGCGCCCTCTGAGAGGCAGGGGCGCTTCTGAGGAAACTTCCCCCCCCCCCTACCCCCCTCTGCGCGCCGCTCCGCCTCGTGGGCGCGCTCGGCGGCGGCGAGCTCGGCCTCGCGCCGCTCCAGCTGCGAGGCCCGCTCCCGGAGGCGCGCCTCGCTCGGGGAGCCCCGGGGCAACGGGACTCTCGGCTTTGGACGCCCGAAATGGGTACGGAAAGAATGGGCACAATGCCCAACAACAAATGTTGTCCCAAACCAACAGCGGCCGCTGTTGGGCAGGCGGCCTTCTGTCTCGAATGGACACAGGCCGCGGCGGCGCGTACACCCTGCGAAATGCTTAAGAAATCATGGGTTAAGAAATTCATAGTCTCAGAACTTGAATTAAAACCCAATATTTCGATTAAAATCTTAGGGTTAACATTGAAACAGTAAGAATAATCGAGACTCTGGCCGAAAACTTAAGTTTTCTTAAGCATCGCCTAAGGTGTACAGCGAGTCCTGTTCGAACTGAACAGGAACTGCTGTTGGGCGCTGTACCCGTTCTTTCCGTGCCCATCTCGTTCGTGCAGATCGGTGGCACGCCGCCGCGGGGGGGGCACCCCATCCGCGCGTGACTCCGTATACGCTGCGTTGCCTCCGAGAGTCCACCCTCTCAGAGGCACCACCCCGGCGCGCGAGGCCGATCAGGAACCGCACCCAGGGCAGGAATCGAGCAGGGCGGGGCCGTTCGGTACGAAGCCAAGGCCCGCTGAGCACACGCCACTCGTCGGGTCCGGGTGGCTTCTCCCTTGAAGGTTGACACGCTGGTGGGTTCCCCACGGGGGGGACCCATCGGCGTGCTTTACTGCCGAAGAAGGACCAGGCCAGGGGGGGTCAAAAACAAAGGTTGAGCAGGGACGGACCGTCCCGGCATTCCTACAGTCACACCAGACCACGACCTGTTCTAAGAACCCACAACTGTTCTAAGAACAAAAACAGTCTTCTTAGAACATAAGCCCGATGTGCTAAAAGAAGACAGTCTAGAACAGAAGCGTTCTAAGAACACTTCGTGGACACCACAAAAAAAAAAGGTTCTTCTTAGAGCATGGTCTGGTAGGGCCATAGGCGAGCCAGGACGCGTCGCCACTGCTCGGGAAGGAGCGATGTTCGCTGACGAGCACTCCACGCGGCGGCGTGTCATCGGCCCTCTTTGCCCGGGTCGGGCGAAAGGGGGGGATAGCCAAGGCGGGGTTTGAGAATCAGCTCACGTAGCTGATTTTCCCGGCGCCTCCCGGCGCCGGGAGGCGCCCATGTATCGAGGAATGGGCCCCTCGGTGGGGCCGAAACCAGCTGCATGCAGCAAATGTTGTAACCCCCCCTTTCGCAATCCCCCCCTTTCGCCCGGCCCGAATGGAGGAGGAGGTGGAGAGGAGGAGGAGGAGGAGGAGGAGGAGAGAGAGGGAGGAGGAGGGGAGGAGGAGGAGGAGGAGGAGGAGGAGAGGGAGGAGGAGGAGAGGGAGGAGGAGGAGGAGAGCGACGACCAATCCCAATTCCCAATCCCCCCCTTTCGCCCGGCCCGATTTGCCCGCCCGGGCCTCGCTCTCGGGGGGCCCACGGCCGGGCGCCGCCCGCCGGCGCCTGGCGGGCGAGGAGGAGGAGGAGGGAGGAGGAGGAGGAAGAGGAGGAGGAGGAGGAGGAGGAGGAGGAGGAGGAGGGGGAGGAAGAGGAGGAGGGGGAGGAGGAGGAGGAGGAGGAGGAGAGGAGGAGGAGAGGAGGAGGAGGAGGAGGAGGAGCGACCCAATCCCAATTCCCAATGCGCCATTCCTAAGTATGCGATGAGGCCACGGCGGGGCCCTGAACTCCTGGCTCTGGACGCCCGAAAGGGGCACGGAAAGAATGGGCACGATGCCCTCCTCCTCCCTCCTCCTCCTCCTCCCTCCTCCCTCTCCTCCCTCCTCCTCCCTCCTCCTCCCTCCTCCTCCCTCGTCCGCCCTCCTCCTCCTCCTCCTCCTCCTCCTGAGATCCTGGCTCTGGACGCCCGAAAGAGGCACGGAAAGCGTGGGTACTCCAGATTTCGTAATAAAAGGGAGGGGGGTCTCATTTCGGGGGGGTGTCTCTTCCAGGCCATCTTGGAGGGCCTGGGGGGGTCTGGGGACGATGTTTTGGAGGGTTCTCCCAGGGGGTGTCTAAAACTTCTCGTCTGGGAGGGTTGAGACCCCCTCCCTTTTTATTATCAGATCTGGAGTACGATGCCCAACAACAAATGTTGCCCCAAGCCGACAGCGGCCGCTGCTGGGCAGGCGGCCTCCTGCCTCGAATGGACACAGGCCGCGGCGGCGTGGACAGCGGATCTGGTTCAAAATGAACAGGAACTGCTGTTGGGCATAGTACCCATTCTTTCCGTGCCCATTTCGGGCGTCCAGACCTGGCGCCGCAATGCTTTCACGCCCGGGCGTCTGCGCCCGCCTTCGGGCCCCGGGACCCGCGAGGAGCCGTCCGGCTCGAAGACTGCAGCAGGGAGCTGTGGTCTATGTATAGGTTGGTAGGACTCCGGGTGCGACTGCCTTCTCGATGTCGCGCACTGCTTTCGCAGCGTCTGAAGGCGAGGGTCAGCGCGGGGACTCCCATCAGGCCCCCTCCCCCCCTCCCCCCCTCCCCCCCTCCCTCTTCCCTCCTCCCTCTGGAGCGAGCGGGGCAGCCCTCCGGCCCAGGCCACGGCGCGGGCAGCGGGGTCCGCTTCCCGCACCCCCGCGGAGGACAAGCGGGGAGCTGGCGGGCCAGGGGGGCACCACAGGGCAGCTGGGGGAAGGTGCCCCCACCGCGGCCGCGGCCGCAGCCGGGAGAGAAGAACCACCGCGAACAAAATCGCGATGGTGTCCCCTTCCCAGCCGCGGCCGCAGCCGCAGCCGCGACCGCAGCCGCGGCCGCGGCTGGGAGAGGAGAACCACCACGAAAAATTCGCGATGGGAAGGTGTGGTGGCTCGAGTGCCCATGAAGAGTGAAGTGGCCAAGGCGGGCGAAACTGCCCGGTGCTGGAGCGGGCGCGGATCGGCGGGGATGGTGTGGCCAGGGCTGGAACATCTGAAGGGGGGCCTGACAGCTGCGGGGCCAGAAAAGATGGAACGGCTGGTATCAGCCAAGATCCCAGCATCTCCTCCCGCTGACCCGCTGAATCCTAAAATTTTGAATGGCCCTCGGCCATTCGAATTCGGCCACTCGCCTTTGGAAGCGCGGGACAACACGGAAACCAGGAAATCTCGGAACGTTCACCGACATGCGATCTCTTGATATGCTGAATACGGTGATGAGCCTGTTTGCCACCACCACCACCATAAGTTGGAGGGGGGAAGGAGGAGGAGGAGGAGGACGAGGAGGAGGAGAACGAGGAGGAGGAGGAGGAGGAAGAGGAGGAGGAGGAGGAGGAGGAGGAGGAGGAGGAGGAGGAAGAGGAGGAGAAGAACCCCCTCCCACTCCAACTTGTGGTGGTGGTGGAAAACCGGCCCATCATATGGGGTCCTGGAAATGCAGAACCATCCCCTCCCCAGGGCTCGTTTTTCATCGTGCGTCGTCTCCTGGCGGTCCCTTTCGTCCTATCGTGTTTGGCCCGACGCGGGCATATGGCTGGCATTCGTTCTCACTACAGCGCGGGCGCGGCCACAAGAAACCCTAGCAGAAACCCAACCCTGAAAACCCGCGCGCGAGGTGCACCAGAGGGGAAACCGGGAGCACCAGGAACGCCGCGGGAAGTCAACGCGCAGCGCGCGGAGCAAAGACACCCAGGATACCCTGACGAGAAGCAGATGGTTTCTTGATGCGCGCACCCTCTGTACTTGCCGCTCCTCCGATCCGGTGCCCTGGAGCGCCCCCACCCCACGCCTACGAGGCGGGGACATCCCTATCCGCCGCCTGTGAACCGACGCCCTGGTGCCCTGGCGGGCCGTGGACATGGGTACAGTTTGCCCCCCCCGGGGTCCCGAATCTCTCTCTCTCTCTATATATAGGGTTTGGTCGGGCATGTCTCCCTACATGATGGTTTTGTGCGTAACATGAAACAACCAGTCAAACAATTATCACATATACATCATCGTCCCCGGACTATTCCTGGACAACTTTTGAATACTTCTCCTGTAGATGAACACGCCCTACTCAAATCTAGGGGAACGAAGAATGACATAAACGTAACAACTCTGAGGTCCGCGCGGATTTCTCGGATCCGCGCTGGACCCCCCTCCCTAGCGCGCGGAGGGCGCTAGGGGCGGCGCCGGAGGCGCCGCCAGTGGGGTCCAACGCGGATCCGAGAAATCCGCGCGGATCTCCGAGTTTTCATGTTTATGCCATTTTCGTTCCCGAAATATCCACCGCCTGTGGAGGTCCGCGAGGAGCGATCCTCTGGGCGGTGGTCATGGCTAAGCCCCCGCCTCGGACCCCCAGCCCCCCGATCGGGGTCCTTCTGACCCGGGTCAATCCAAACCTGGGTCAGTCAAGACTTGCAGAATCCTGCAAGATCCTGCAAGATCCTGCACCAACCCGGTTCAATGCGAAGGATCCTGCAAGGTCCTGCGGGATCCTGCGCCCAAGCGCGGGTCAGTGCGCCCCCGGCCCTGCAGGATCCTGCAAGATCGAGCGCACTGGCTGACCCCCGTGGCTGACCACCGCGCGCTGGCTGGCCCCGCTGCTTATGTTCCTCCTCCTCCTCCTCCTCCTCCTCCTCCTCCTCCTTCTCCTCTTCCTCCTCCAAGTCCTCCTCCTCCTCCTCCTCCTCCCCC